ATCGGAAAAATGAGTTCCCGACTGGGAAAATTCAGACTCGGAAAGTCTGCGAAAATTTTGATACGATTGTTGTTGACGTCATACACGCAGAAACATGGCGGACGAAAGTGGTAAGAAACTTTTGATTAATGGTGCAAATTCACGTATTACATATAAATTTTTTGCTAACATTTAATTTGTAATATGGTATTAGGTTGTAACGGCTAGTTGCTGTCCACGTACAGTGACCTAGATTTGTTAGAAAAGTTATTTATTAGCAGTAACCCTGACAACAAGTCAGGTAAAGCAATATTTTAGTGGTTTCAGGGAATGTATTGGCACAGCAACAACTCTGGGACAAAATCACTTTGTAATGTAAAGCTTCAAACTGTTTCAGCATACTTGGATGACAACATGAATCTTTACTGGGACACTAGTCTCAGCCAACCCATCACCCAGACGCTATACCAAAGAGAAGGGGGTCCCATGCTTTATGTAGATGAAGCTCTAACAATTAAATTAAACCCAGTATTGATTGGGTGTGTCCCTGTGGAGCATTCCTCTGCCCCGTTGTCATGCAAACACTGGAAACAGCTATCAACATGTTGTTTAAACACTCAGAGCAATAAAATACAACACATCTTCTTTGTAGCGTCCATGTTGTTTCCACATTCTGACTTAAAAGCACATGAACACACCAAAGTCAGAAGAACAACTTCACAAGTTGGGAAATGGGACCATCTGAGGGGCACATGAATGCAGAATTATTTCATGAATTCCTCTGGTCTTTGTCCTCTTTTTTGTTATTTGTGGTCAGAAACTAAAGAAAATCATATTTTAGTACCAGCTAGTCTTCTTCACATTTTCCTTTTTAGTGGACAGGAAAGGTTCCACCATTGGTGTCACTGCCAAGCCTTCTTCAAGCCCTTCCTACGGTAAATCTGCAATGGTGACATGAAGGACTGTATCTCTGTGTAGTGACTGGGATTTAAGCAACAGTTAGACTTGCCTTTTATCTTCAAAAGAAAAATATACATGCCATCTCACACTTGCAAGGATGTATCACATTGCAACTTAATTGTAAGAAAAAAAAATATATCCTTAATCTTAAATCTAAACTCCAACCTTATTTCTTGAATTATTAGAGACCAGCGATAAGGATATCATATCTGTGGATACTGTAGAGTCATGTTGCCACTTTGGCATGTAGGGTCTTCAACTTTGTGATGATTGTACCATGCAAAGAGGAAGCAACAACACATACATTCAAATATCCACTTTTAATGTTATGACTGGATCCAACTGGACAGAAAGGTACAACAGCTAAGTCTGTGTCACCCTCTTCTCTTCAATGTACAGACCCTCATCCAACAGTTATGCATGTTTTAGAACATGGAAAATGCATCTCACTACCTAGAATGTTCCCGGGTCTTAGGACACAGGCACATGTCCTGGACATGCATCCTCATAAGTGCACAAATGGTCTATATTATGTACATATCCTTACATGGCCCCCACCTGCAAGACACAACTGGCTAATTCACACACATTATGGCTCATAAGGCCCAAATACCTAAAACATGAGAGGGAATATTTTGCTGACTTAAAATACATGTTGGAGAAATATGCATTAACATAGAATACATACATATACTCGAGACTGTGTTGCATCTCAGACTCATCCCAGATCACACTGATGTAGCTGTGGCATCTTTGACAAATACCTTTTACAGGGTGCAGCAGTGCACCCCCCCAAATACTTATTTTTCTTGCATGAAAATGGAGAGGAAAACAACACACTAATGGTTGATTGACACAATGAATTTATTATGTTTTTTTTCTGATGGTAGAGCTCTGATGAACATCAATGGTAGAGTTCTGATGAACATCAACACCAGGAGGCTGGTGTTACTACAGAAATTAAACCAAGCTGGGAGGAAGCTACTTGGTGGAAGTGAGTCTGGTGTGGAAAGTTCAGACAATATTTTGACATGACTTTTTTATCCAATGTTTTTTTTTTTTTTTTAAATCCATTGGGGTGAGGCCCTGTTGGTCTCACAATGTGAAGCAGGATGCTCTGGGTGCACAGGAGTAATCAACATTTAATGGTATATGCCTGAGTGTTGCTATAATATGTAACATGTATATTGAGCTCTCCTGTAATATGCTGGGGAAAGCAAATGAGCAGTGATAAAAGCTAAAATTAGATTGTTAGTAAGCCAGTAAGTCAGAACAGAGCTAATAATAATTATTGGAACATTCAGTGCCTTCATTTCGTGTTTTACGACTGAAATTTAAACGGGGAAATTCCATGTCATTCAATTTTACGATTTAGAGGGGCATCTGCTCCTTCCGCTTGCTCTCTGACCCGTCTCACCCTTTCATTACTCCATAGCTCACTTCACTCACCTTTCTCTCTCTCCCTCTCAAATTTGCAGCGAGAGTTTGTATTGCTAAAGCACTGAAAATTTAGAAGATGAGATAAAAAGAAAAAAAAACAGTCTATCCTTCTCTCATCCCTCCTCCTCCCCTCCTCACTAGTTCTACACAGGGGAGTTGTTGCATCACTCTGAAAGGGAAGTCCAGGATGTCCTTCTGGCATTGGGGTGGCTTGGTCGTAAAGGTCACTGGTTTTGTTGGAAGATGGAGGTGGTGAACGTCAACTACCAAACACCCATGAAAAACGGCAGCAAAACTACTGCTGTGCATGACCATAAGAAGGCTCTAACATCAGGTGAGGACTTCCGGTACCGTAGGGTGTCCTGAGGGAAGGGGGCCTCTGGAATTTTAGAAGGGAGGTATGTCACATAATCCATAAAGTTGAGAATTCTGCACAGTAACATCAAACCACACAACCATGCAATCATGTACACACAAGCACACAGACACACACCTACACAGACAGACACACACCCGCATAGAAATGTGAGCACACACATGCGCACATGCACATACATTTGGTTTGCAAAGAAAACAAAAAGATTAATTTTTGCCCAGTGTAAAAACTGCATCAACTTACCTGAGTGGCTTCTTTTTTTGTCACGCATCCCAGGAGAAACTGACCATCTTGGTCAAGTCATGAGCAGATCAAAATCTTGGCACGGCGTTACAATGGTCTGGATCAAAGGTATGACAGAGCTTCTCCCTCCAGAAAAGCAGGTCAGGATTCAAGTTCCCCCGCATGAGGGAATGTGGGAGGAGTGAGCTCTCTTCTCAAGATAGACTAAAATGCCATCTGTTCAGCACACTGTGGGGTTGAAGTGGAACTAATTGACTAGGGTAGAGATACTGCATCTGACCTTTGTACGTCTCAGGAACCATCCAACAGCTGTCCCAAGTGCATCTCTTCCCTGTCCTCAACACAAAATCAAATGATCATGACACTTTCAAAGAGGAAAAAAGTGGTTTTAATATGAAATTGTGAGTGCGCAGACACAATGTAAACAAAACCTCATTGACTGTTTGCCTGGTTCACGGACACAGACACAACAAAACAGAAAGAATCTGTGATCTTGGGATTACCATGCAAAAAACTGGAGAAGTTTCAATAGTATGGACATTGTAATTGGGCACTGGGATTCTGAAAGCCAATTTTTCCCTATGTAGTGGACAATACTGTAAACAGTGAAATCATCTAGTAGTATGCACGACAAGTGGAGACAGCACACTACTGAGAGGCATTGGGGCTGTGACTCACCTAAAAAAATTCCACTAACTATCATTGGACACCAACTATAACAAAAAAAACAGATTTCTTCTAGCTCAAAACCTCTTTTCTGTGTTATGGTGGATGTGCAGTTTTGCGGCGCATACACGCTCAGAAGAGTGAACACCCTCAGACGCTGCAGTTGCAACTGGCACAAAAAAACCTCCACATCCCGCCTGTCCTCACCCATTTCTGAAACAGGGAAAGCGTGCTGCTTTCACCCTACTTTCTAAAGTGAATAAAGGCCAATCTGAAGAGATTTGTTCTCGCAAGGCAGGTGAAAGGAAAGCTTTGACTTGAATGAAGTCACACGTGTCCAATAGTTACGAAATGAGATGCAAGAGGCCATGTCATAGAATTGGCACCGGACAAGCGTGCCTTGTGCTTGATGAGGCTCGGTTTGTCTACATTGCGAATTCTCCCAAAAGCCTGTTCCCGCCCAGTTTCGAACTGGGGACCTTTCGCGTGTGAGGCGAACGTGATAACCACTACACTACGGAAACCAGCTGTGTTTATAGGCCTCTCACAACGCAGGTTTTCCTTCACCTCAAATTGAGAATTATGCATGATGATTGTCAACGCCAGAGAAGCACTGCAATTCACAAGTGTCCTGATAAGCACAGCTGTGGTTTCTGTAGTGTAGTGGTCATCACGTTTGCCTAACACGCAAAAGGTCCTCGGTTCAAAACCGAGCAGAAACAGCTTTTCAAAGGAGCAGAACTTCTTTCTCAAAACCCCTTTTCTACATCGTGGTGGACAGCAAAGATCACACTATGCAGTTTTGCAGCGCATGCACGCTCAGAAGAGTGAACACCCTCAGACGCTGCAGTTGCAACTGGCACAAAAAAACCTCCACATCCCGCCTGTCCTCACCCATTTCTGAAACAGGGAAAGCGTGCTGCTTTCACCCTACTTTCTAAAGTGAATAAAGGCCAATCTGAAGAGATTTGTTCTCGCAAGGCAGGTGAAAGGAAAGCTTTGACTTGAATGAAGTCACACGTGTCCAATAGTTACGAAATGAGATGCAAGAGGCCATGTCATAGAATTGGCACCGGACAAGCGTGCCTTGTGCTTGATGAGGCTCGGTTTGTCTACATTGCGAATTCTCCCAAAAGCCTGTTCCCGCCCAGTTTCGAACTGGGGACCTTTCGCGTGTGAGGCGAACGTGATAACCACTACACTACGGAAACCAGCTGTGTTTATAGGCCTCTCACAACGCAGGTTTTCCTTCACCTCAAATTGAGAATTATGCATGATGATTGTCAACGCCAGAGAAGCACTGCAATTCACAAGTGTCCTGATAAGCACAGCTGTGGTTTCTGTAGTGTAGTGGTCATCACGTTTGCCTAACACGCAAAAGGTCCTTTCGGTTCAAAACCGAGCAGAAACAGCTTTTCAAAGGAGCAGAACTCTTTCTCAAAACCCCTTTTCTACATCGTGGTGGACAGCAAAGATCACACTATGCAGTTTTGCAGCGCATGCACGCTCAGAAGAGTGAACACCCTCAGACGCTGCAGTTGCAACTGGCACAAAAAAACCTCCACATCCCGCCTGTCCTCACCCATTTCTGAAACAGGGAAAGCGTGCTGCTTTCACCCTACTTTCTAAAGTGAATAAAGGCCAATCTGAAGAGATTTGTTCTCGCAAGGCAGGTGAAAGGAAAGCTTTGACTTGAATGAAGTCACACGTGTCCAATAGTTACGAAATGAGATGCAAGAGGCCATGTCATAGAATTGGCACCGGACAAGCGTGCCTTGTGCTTGATGAGGCTCGGTTTGTCTACATTGCGAATTCTCCCAAAAGCCTGTTCCCGCCCAGTTTCGAACTGGGGACCTTTCGCGTGTGAGGCGAACCTGATAACCACTACACTACGGAAACCAGCTGTGTTTATAGGCCTCTCACAACGCAGGTTTTCCTTCACCTCAAATTGAGAATTATGCATGATGATTGTCAACGCCAGAGAAGCACTGCAATTCACAAGTGTCCTGATAAGCACAGCTGTGGTTTCTGTAGTGTAGTGGTCATCACGTTTGCCTAACACGCAAAAGGTCCTCGGTTCAAAACCGAGCAGAAACAGCTTTTCAAAGGAGCAGAACTCTTCTTTCTCAAAACCCCTTTTCTACATCGTGGTGGACAGCAAAGATCACACTATGCAGTTTTGCAGCGCATGCACGCTCAGAAGAGTGAACACCCTCAGACGCTGCAGTTGCAACTGGCACAAAAAAACCTCCACATCCCGCCTGTCCTCACCCATTTCTGAAACAGGGAAAGCGTGCTGCTTTCACCCTACTTTCTAAAGTGAATAAAGGCCAATCTGAAGAGATTTGTTCTCGCAAGGCAGGTGAAAGGAAAGCTTTGACTTGAATGAAGTCACACGTGTCCAATAGTTACGAAATGAGATGCAAGAGGCCATGTCATAGAATTGGCACCGGACAAGCGTGCCTTGTGCTTGATGAGGCTCGGTTTGTCTACATTGCGAATTCTCCCAAAAGCCTGTTCCCGCCCAGTTTCGAACTGGGGACCTTTCGCGTGTGAGGCGAACCTGATAACCACTACACTACGGAAACCAGCTGTGTTTATAGGCCTCTCACAACGCAGGTTTTCCTTCACCTCAAATTGAGAATTATGCATGATGATTGTCAACGCCAGAGAAGCACTGCAATTCACAAGTGTCCTGATAAGCACAGCTGTGGTTTCTGTAGTGTAGTGGTCATCACGTTTGCCTAACACGCAAAAGGTCCTCGGTTCAAAACCGAGCAGAAACAGCTTTTCAAAGGAGCAGAACTCTTCTTTCTCAAAACCCCTTTTCTACATCGTGGTGGACAGCAAAGATCACACTATGCAGTTTTGCAGCGCATGCACGCTCAGAAGAGTGAACACCCTCAGACGCTGCAGTTGCAACTGGCACAAAAAAACCTCCACATCCCGCCTGTCCTCACCCATTTCTGAAACAGGGAAGCGTGCTGCTTTCACCCTACTTTCTAAAGTGAATAAAGGCCAATCTGAAGAGATTTGTTCTCGCAAGGCAGGTGAAAGGAAAGCTTTGACTTGAATGAAGTCACACGTGTCCAATAGTTACGAAATGAGATGCAAGAGGCCATGTCATAGAATTGGCACCGGACAAGCGTGCCTTGTGCTTGATGAGGCTCGGTTTGTCTACATTGCGAATTCTCCCAAAAGCCTGTTCCCGCCCAGTTTCGAACTGGGGACCTTTCGCGTGTGAGGCGAACGTGATAACCACTACACTACGGAAACCAGCTGTGTTTACAGGCCTCTCACAACGCAGGTTTTCCTTCACCTCAAATTGAGAATTATGCATGATGATTGTCAACGCCAGAGAAGCACTGCAATTCACAAGTGTCCTGATAAGCACAGCTGTGGTTTCTGTAGTGTAGCGGTCATCACGTTTGCCTAACACGCAAAAAGTCCTCGGTTCGAAACCGAGCAGAAACAGCTTTTCAAAGGAGCAGAACTCTTTCTCAAAACCCCTTTTCTACATCGTGGTGGACAGCAAAGATCACACTATGCAGTTTTGCAGCGCATGCACGCTCAGAAGAGTGAACACCCTCAGACGCTGCAGTTGCAACTGGCACAAAAAAACCTCCACATCCCGCCTGTCCTCACCCATTTCTGAAACAGGGAAAGCGTGCTGCTTTCACCCTACTTTCTAAAGTGAATAAAGGCCAATCTGAAGAGATTTGTTCTCGCAAGGCAGGTGAAAGGAAAGCTTTGACTTGAATGAAGTCACACGTGTCCAATAGTTACGAAATGAGATGCAAGAGGCCATGTCATAGAATTGGCACCGGACAAGCGTGCCTTGTGCTTGATGAGGCTCGGTTTGTCTACATTGCGAATTCTCCCAAAAGCCTGTTCCCGCCCAGTTTCGAACTGGGGACCTTTCGCGTGTGAGGCAAACGTGATAACCACTACACTACGGAAACCAGCTGTGTTTACAGGCCTCTCACAACGCAGGTTTTCCTTCACCTCAAATTGAGAATTATGCATGATGATTGTCAACGCCAGAGAAGCACTGCAATTCACAAGTGTCCTGGTAAGCACAGCTGTGGTTTCTGTAGTGTAGTGGTCATCACGTTTGCCTAACACGCAAAAGGTCCTCGGTTCAAAACCGAGCAGAAACAGCTTTTCAAAGGAGCAGAACTCTTTCTCAAAACCCCTTTTCTACATCGTGGTGGACATCAAAGATCACACTATGCAGTTTTGCGGCGCATGCACGCTCAGAAGAGTGAACACCCTCAGACGCTGCAGTTGCAACTGGCACAAAAAAACCTCCACATCCCGCCTGTCCTCACCCATTTCTGAAACAGGGAAAGCGTGCTGCTTTCACCCTACTTTCTAAAGTGAATAAAGGCCAATCTGAAGAGATTTGTTCTCGCAAGGCAGGTGAAAGGAAAGCTTTGACTTGAATGAAGTCACACGTGTCCAATAGTTACGAAATGAGATGCAAGAGGCCATGTCATAGAATTGGCACCGGACAAGCGTGCCTTGTGCTTGATGAGGCTCGGTTTGTCTACATTGCGAATTCTCCCAAAAGCCTGTTCCCGCCCAGTTTCGAACTGGGGACCTTTCGCGTGTGAGGCGAACGTGATAACCACTACACTACGGAAACCAGCTGTGTTTATAGGCCTCTCACAACGCAGGTTTTCCTTCACCTCAAATTGAGAATTATGCATGATGATTGTCAACGCCAGAGAAGCACTGCAATTCACAAGTGTCCTGATAAGCACAGCTGTGGTTTCTGTAGTGTAGCGGTCATCACGTTTGCCTAACACGCAAAAGGTCCTCGGTTCAAAACCGAGCAGAAACAGCTTTTCAAAGGAGCAGAACTCTTTCTCAAAACCCCTTTTCTACATCGTGGTGGACAGCAAAGATCACACTATGCAGTTTTGCGGCGCATGCACGCTCAGAAGAGTGAACACCCTCAGACGCTGCAGTTGCAACTGGCACAAAAAAACCTCCACATCCCGCCTGTCCTCACCCATTTCTGAAACAGGGAAAGCGTGCTGCTTTCACCCTACTTTCTAAAGTGAATAAAGGCCAATCTGAAGAGATTTGTTCTCGCAAGGCAGGTGAAAGGAAAGCTTTGACTTGAATGAAGTCACACGTGTCCAATAGTTACGAAATGAGATGCAAGAGGCCATGTCATAGAATTGGCACCGGACAAGCGTGCCTTGTGCTTGATGAGGCTCGGTTTGTCTACATTGCGAATTCTCCCAAAAGCCTGTTCCCACCCAGTTTCGAACTGGGGACCTTTCGCGTGTGAGGCGAACGTGATAACCACTACACTACGGAAACCAGCTGTGTTTATAGGCCTCTCACAACGCAGGTTTTCCTTCACCTCAAATTGAGAATTATGCATGATGATTGTCAACGCCAGAGAAGCACTGCAATTCACAAGTGTCCTGATAAGCACAGCTGTGGTTTCTGTAGTGTAGTGGTCATCACGTTTGCCTAACACGCAAAAGGTCCTCGGTTCAAAACCGAGCAGAAACAGCTTTTCAAAGGAGCAGAACTCTTTCTCAAAACCCTTTTCTACATCGTGGTGGACAGCAAAGATCACACTATGCAGTTTTGCAGCGCATGCACGCTCAGAAGAGTGAACACCCTCAGACGCTGCAGTTGCAACTGGCACAAAAAACCTCCACATCCCGCCTGTCCTCACCCATTTCTGAAACAGGGAAAGCGTGCTGCTTTCACCCTACTTTCTAAAGTGAATAAAGGCCAATCTGAAGAGATTTGTTCTCGCAAGGCAGGTGAAAGGAAAGCTTTGACTTGAATGAAGTCACACGTGTCCAATAGTTACGAAATGAGATGCAAGAGGCCATGTCATAGAATTGGCACCGGACAAGCGTGCCTTGTGCTTGATGAGGCTCGGTTTGTCTACATTGCGAATTCTCCCAAAAGCCTGTTCTCGCCCAGTTTCAGCTGGGGACCTTTCGCGTGTGAGGCGAACGTGATAACCACTACACTACGGAAACCAGCTGTGTTTATAGGCCTCTCACAACGCAGGTTTTCCTTCACCTCAAATTGAGAATTATGCATGATGATTGTCAACGCCAGAGAAGCACTGCAATTCACAAGTGTCCTGATAAGCACAGCTGTGGTTTCTGTAGTGTAGCGGTCATCACGTTTGCCTAACACGCAAAAGGTCCTCGGTTCAAAACCGAGCAGAAACAGCTTTTCAAAGGAGCAGAACTCTTTCTCAAAACCCCTTTTCTACATCGTGGTGGACAGCAAAGATCACACTATGCAGTTTTGCAGCGCATGCACGCTCAGAAGAGTGAACACCCTCAGACGCTGCAGTTGCAACTGGCACAAAAAAACCTCCACATCCCGCCTGTCCTCACCCATTTCTGAAACAGGGAAAGCGTG